GGCTTTAAGCAAAGTTCCTTAGTATTTCTTTGATTTAAGTTAAAACTGGTCTCCTTAATAGTACCAAGTAAACTTGCTATTAAAAGTACTTAGATTATTTAAGAAATTGTGTGATCAATACAATGTGGGTGGGAAAGGAATGGAAGATAATTGTAGACACCAGAGATAGTGTGAGAAGAGGATGGGAAAGCACAGAGGGTCAGAAATAAGGGTAAAAAAAAAATTCTAGGAACTAGAAATGAAAAATTTTTGATAATAATATGCATGATTAAGCCACTATGCAGTGTATTCTGGATGAGAAATAACATTTTGTATGCTGTGACAATGCTTAGGGAAAGTAAAGTTAAAAAAAAAGTTTCAGGAAAAAAAACCCCTAAAACTATTTTTCTTGAAATTAAAAAACAAATGCATTAAAAATACCTATTCGATGACTGCAGTAAAATACATAGCCCCAGTTAGGTGCTACTTTATAGGATGTTCATTCTACTCACTGAGTTTATGCCTAAAGTTAGACTTGTGTTCATGGAAATGTATGTATCAGCTGTGCTTGCTATGAAAATATTTAGATTAATTAAGATCTTTAGTGACTCAATAAAATGTGTGTGTGGGGAGTATAGAAAGCAAACATAGATACCAGAGACAGTGTGGGAGGAGAACGGGAGATGGCAGAGGGTGGGGTAAGAGATAGGGAATCAAGGATGGGGAAAAAAAGCAAAACATACAGGAAAATTATTTGTTGATGATAACATGTATGTTGATGCACTTGACTGAGCCAATATACAGTGTACTCTGGATGGAAAAATCTCACTTTGTATGCTGTAATGATGTAAAGTGAATGAATGTAAATAAATAAATTTAATAAAACTAAAAAAAAATTAAAAAATAAAAAAATTAAAGGAAAGAAAGAAATGGGTCAATCCCTTTAAAACAGTCTACTTTCACTCACCCAGTAGGACATGGATAATCTGAGTAGCCCAGTAAGTATAAGGACATTGACTTCATAACTAGAATACTTTTAAAAAGAAACCTCTCAGGCCAGCCAGTGGCAGGTGGCTGGAGCAGCCGGATTCCCACAGGCACTGCGGTCAGAGTCCTGGACACAGCAGCTTGAGAAATACGCCTGCTGCATGTGCAAGCATGCCCCAAATCCTGAGAAGAGGACGGAGGAGAAAGGATTGCAGTGTCTCCTTCTGGCAAGTACACACGCAGAATAGCAGTTTAAAAAAAAAAATAAAAAAACTTCAGGTCTAGATGGCTTCATTAGAGAATTCTACCAAACATTTAAAAAATTAAAAACAACTGGGATCAGCAGTTAGCATAATGGCTATGTTGCTGGACTCCCATGTAGTCGACCGCGGTTCGTGTCCCAGACCTGGTGGCTTAAAACTCACGCCGGGCACGTGTGCGTGTGTACCCAAGATCCCGAAAGGAGAATGGAGGAGAAGGGATTGTGGCGTTGCCATCCCCCCTGGGGGGTGATTTCTCGCTTTCTGTCTCTGTCTGGCGAGCACACGCGCTCTATAGCAAAAACCTCTCAAAAAAAAAAAAAAAACCAACCAAAAAAAACCCAATTAAAAACAACCCTATACAATCAGCTCCAGAAATCAAGATATTTTTCAATCAATTTTGTGAAGTATTATGCCGATACCAAAACCAGACCAAGACAATAAACTGTAAGATACTATCCCTCAGGCAGGCCCTACAAGCGTTTTGAGATGGAAGCTAAATCCCATATGGCCAACCAGATTCCAGTCCTGGCCCTGGCAGTATGTAAACACATGGCGTTTTCCAAGCTGCTGGGGCAGGATTTGAACCATGGTTGGCCAAATGGGATCTGGCTTTCTATGCATGACACTTAACGACTGCACTATGGAGTCAGCTGAGAAACTAAAGTTTTAAGACACAGAGTATAACATATGGACGTGAATTTAGGTTAGGTTCCTCAGCAGTTAAAACCAAAGACAATGTAATATTTATTATCTGACAGAAGAAGCATACAAGTTCACCTGTAACCATAACTTTCTTTTTTTTTTTTTTGGACGGGTTTTTCCTAAGGGCCCACTGCCCCC